TCGGGGGGGGGGGGGAACGTCGTAAACATTAGTGGTCCGCGAAGAAAGATCGCACCGAGACAACGAAATTCGTAACAGCGCTGCTATTTACGCGTGTATGTAAACACACCAACCCGCGCGGGCCCGACGAAATCACGTCGGAAGAGCAAATAGACGACGCGTACGTCAGTTTAACGTCCTTACGCGATAAAGCCGCGGTGTAAACGTTATCTCCGTACAAATAAAAATAAAAATAAAAAAAAAACATCCATCGCGCGCGAGACAGCTGCTGATTTATATACCAGCACTTTCGTCTGTTGTCTCGCGTTATTTGACTTCCTCTATAGCTCTGATTATCACGATTAATGTTAGAACAGATTGCAGATTCTCTGCAGAGGAGAAATTAAAAGTAAGAAAGTTATTCCGATCGCTTAATTAATAAAACTCAACAAATAATTGTATATAAAAGTACACAAGTGCCAATTTTGTTAAATTTTTCTCTATTAATCTGTACGCACTTGCGAAATGTACGAGGGTGAGTCAAAAATTATCTACATTTTTGTTTTCACAATTTTTTCCATAAAAGTAGGGGTTCAACAAGTACATCATTTTTCTACCTATAGTCTCCTTGCTTTTCAATGCACTTGGTCCAGCGATCCACAAGCTTCTGTATTCCCTTCAGGAAGAAGGTTTTGGGTTGATCGCGCAACCATTTATGCATCGCTTCCTGTACCCTGATTCTATAGCACTTAACGACAGTGTCGGTATCGTTATACTATCGTTGCTCGTAAAAAAGCTGCGCAACGACTGCAGTATATACAGAATCGGGGTACAGGAAGCGATGCATAAATGGTTGCGCGTCCAACAAAAAACCTACTTCCTATGAAGGGAATACAGAAGCTTGTAGATCGCTGGACCAAGTGCATTGAAAAGCAAGGAGAATATGTAGAAAAATGATGTACTTGTTCACTTGTTGAACTCCTACTTTTATGGAAAAAATTGGGAAAACAAAAGTGTAGATAATTTTTTACTCGCCCTCGGAAAAATATGTTTTCGATAGAATAGTAAAAAGAAAGTTATTAATAATAAAATCTGAAAATTATATTTAATAAAATATAATCTAGAAAATTATATTTAATAAAAGTAACGAGAATATTATATTAATAGCCAAATTTAAAAGATATTAAATGTAATTTTACACACTCATTTATACACAGAAGAACCATTTTTAATCAAAATCATTCTCATATACAAGCAAGACTATTAGAATCTCTTATCTTCTTAGAAGATTTTTAGTTCTTGAATTGAGTGCAGCTAATACTTGCATCAATATAAATTTAATCTAATTAAGATTAAACTCTCAAGACGATATAATATTCTTGCTTATATATGAGAATATCTATTTCGATTTAAGGCCAACTTTTTTTCTGTTTCAGTTTATTTTGGAATTGCGTTCTCACACACAAGAGTATCGCGATACATTAAAGCTACATTAAAAGATCCTCGGAACTTCCAAGAGTTCGGAACAGTTCCAAACAATGCCGTATCGAAACTCTGTTGGACGAACTACGGAAATCGTGCGGTTATTATCGTCGAACGAGCAATCTAATCTACAGACAGCGTACACATGATATAGAGGGATACAGTGACTGCGATAAAACGCACTCGAGATAGTGAAGATTGCGATTTCTTTTTCTCTCTGCAATCATTTCACGTAACACGTTCGCTGATTTTCGAGATTAAACAGGAGCTATAATCCACGCTCGCGCTCGATTAGAAACGCGTGGCCCGCCCGAGATGTTCCTGCATTTTCGTATCTCTATATAGAACTGTATAGGCACGGTCTCATTCTCTCATCGTACATTCAGCGCTAGAAATTCCGCGTCTGTCTGTTTCTCCCCGTTTCACGTATATGTGTATACGTATATCGTGCGAGTTCGGACGTGAAATAGAGGAGAATAACGATCGACGACAGACGGCCATGTTTAATCCCGAATGGCATAAAGCTTCTCGTCTCGATTCAATTCAACTGCTGAATAGAAACACATCTGAAACAACTGTGTATATAAAATAGTCAGATCGAATAACAGAGAGACAGTTTTGTCCGAGAAAGTTTGCAAATAGATAAGGACGATATCTCGTCGATGCAGGGGCGCACTCGGAGCTTCATCGAGCGCGAGTAGTAACTCTGATTTTGAGATTCCGAAGCGGAATTAAGGCTAATCTTTCGTCGATGCAAGGGGGGTGCACTCGAGCTTCGTGACGCGTGAGTTAACGCCGATTCTAAGGTTCCCGCGACGCGTGCGTTTTAAGCACGCCTTCGACCTTTATCGCGCCGCTCACCACCTTGGCACAATTAATAACAATTAATACCTTTGTATAACGTATTACGACCGCGGGAATCGTGGCGAATTTGTTGACTCGGGTTTAATTAAACCTCGTCTGTCGCGCGAGTCAAGTCCGTCTTCGGGTCTTAACGAGAGCGCGCCGTCAATCGGACCCGTCATCCTCGAGCGCAGTTTCGGAGGGAAATTTCCAGGGTTTACCATTAGACCGTGCTATACGAAAAAAGTGGCGGACGTTATATATAGCTGTCCAATCGATGAGCGACGGCTGTGATTAAAAAGCGGCGACGCCGGTTGAAAACGATTACTCCGAGCGTTCGCATTGTCGCGCGATAGAATTTTCTCACTGACAGGCGCGCGGCTCTCTCGACGCATTGCTATATATTATTGATAGAACACCGTCAAAAATAATACAAAATTATTGAGGAAAATCGAAGATACGGTCGACTACTTTCAGAAGGATGATTCAAAGGTGTCTTCACGACTTTCCTGGAGCCCAAGCGAGTTGACAAGTTTTTTCCGTTCGGAGCAAGTTTTACACGCAGCCGGAGTCATCGTTAAGTATCGCTTCTATATATGTTATGTTTGTCAAACTCGTCGTGTGAATATCAATTAGCATCGAACGTATCGCGAGTCACGGTGTCGCGTGAGCTGTCCATTATCGACCGCGGTGGAATTCGTATTCTTAAAGGAAAGTCTCCTCGTCCGCGTCCTCGGACGGAGAATCGGGATGAGTCGAAGCGATCGGGATATGATCGGAAGGTCTCGAGTGGACTCAGCACCGCGACGGTGACACGCACCAGGAGGGAAAGGCACGAGCCGTCGCGTGCGCAAACACGGGACGTACGGACGGTTGTCGTGAGTCGGCCGCCCGATCGAGAGGCGTCGAAAGGCGAGAGGAGGCCGGTGTCGTGCCTATCGAAGAGAAGGGTAGAGAGAAAGAGAGAGAGAGAGGAACTCACCTGCCTGGACCGTGACGAGGGTTCCCACCGCTAAATATAGCGTCCCCAGCAGCACAAAAGCGGCTCGCCTCTCCATCCCGGTGGCGCTGCTGCCGACGTACGCGGTGGCGCGTGACCGTGTGCACCGTGCACGGCAATACGATTACCAACGACGAGCACGATGCCCCACCTCGTCGTCGTCGTCGTCGTCGTCGCGAGGCGAGAGAGGGACCTACGCGGCACCTGGACGTCGTATGATGCCTGGTGACGGGCGGTACGCAACGAGATCGCCGATGCCCGTCGCGTCGATGGGCCGTCGTACACGGGTACAGTGTTCCGTCGTCCTCGTCGTCCTTGTCGTCCTCACCGTGACTTCCCGTGGCCGTCACCTCGTCGATATCTTGCGGATCCCGGTTGGTCAACCGCGAATCCTCTTTTCGCTCCGATTGACGATCGGACAGTTCACGCGAGAACACCCGTCACACCGCTGCTGCTGCTGCTGCTACTACTGCTGCTGTAGCTGATGCTGCTGTTGCTCCACCTCCTCTTCTTCCTCTTCTTCTTCTTCGTCCTCCTCCTCCTCCTCCTCCTCTTCCGCTGCCGCCGCTGCCGTTGCCGTCACGATCTATCACTGACGTTTGATCGTCCACCTCTTATCGTTATCTCTGCACGCTTATCTTAATGCGCAGCACTACACACGGAGATCGTCCGGGTGCCGTTGCCGCCGCCGTCGTCGTCGTCACCGTCGTCGCCGCTCCGTCGTCGTCGTCGCTCTCTTCACTACCTTCTCCTTCTTCCTCTTCCTCTAATTCTCCTTCTCCTCGTTACAGTCACTGGCGGACTTCACCATCGACCGAGAAAGAGAGAGGAGGAAGAGAGGCACACACTGATCACTGCTGATCACCGTGGTGGATAAGTACAGCACGAGCCGCAGCAGTTACGGAGTTACGACAATGTTCGGGTCGTTCGGGAACGTCAGAAGAAAAATGGCGACGGCTGTCTTCTGCTCGGGACCTCCTCCTCCTTCACCACCGTACAAACGTTCGTCTCGTCCTGTCACGCGCTGCTCGATTTTCCCCCTCTTCCGCTGGCCCCCCTCAACCCTTTTTTCCGATACTGGCGAACTGTGCAAAATTTTACGGCTGCGCCCTCTGTGGAGATCCGCGGTCGCCTTATGCTCAATTCACATGGTCCATGGAAATTCAGGAGAAATTCAGAATAATCGGCGATTAATTCAACTGTCGGCAGATCGAAAAATCAATATTTTTGGTTCGCTATTGCCTGAGTATACTGACGTGGAGACGGAATGCTGGCACCAGGGTGCACCGCCTAGCAGTCGAAAAAGGTGGATGTAGCACGGACACGCACCACAAATTATATATCCGCGGTGCCGAAAAGTGAATGTTGCTATATAGTTTGCATCCACTTCTTCAGGTGGCGTTAGTGCGCGAGGGTATTTTGAAGTAACAGGCAAAAGGCCGTCATACCCTCTCTCAGGTTTCTCTCTGATTATAGCGAAATTAGCGATAGCTAGGCGGACTCGTGGCTGAGTCGTGGCCTGCGAATTCATGCAAATTCGTATCTCGTTTCGCGCACATTTTGACCGACAAGGATAAATTGTGTGACGTGTCAACGAAAGAGCGAAAGAGAGAGAGCGTGAGATTCTTCATTCTCTCTCCTCGTCGACTTGCTCCGCTTGCTCGTTAGCTTTCTGCTAACTTGTCACCGAGCCTTGCATCTAACTTGTCTCCGACTACAGTCCTTCGCGATCTACTATAAATTTCCTTTCTTTTGATCGAAAATTGAACGAAATCCTCTTCCGAGGCGTTCTCGAGAGGGCCCTTCTCCTCTCGCGGAAGATCATCCGCCTGCAACAGGAGCTGCATATCCAGCATATCGTGCGTATCAGCGTGCAGCCTTGGCCCTTGGCGTGCCTCGCAATCGGATGTGGAAAGTGCGTGGCAGATGAGGATATTCCGTTGATTTTACCGGGCTCGTCACGAGGTGATAAATCTTGCAGACTGCCGAGGAGGTGGTCCGAAGATCGTGGTAAACATTCGAAGCTTAGTAATTGCAAGCGACAAGAGACAGCTGCAAATCTGTCGAGAAAAAAAAACACATTCCCTGTATATATAACATATATACATATACCTCGAAATGTCTACGCGATATATGAAAAAGGTTTACGGCGGCGACGTGACCCTGGAGACGGGTAACGACGACGCAAGTGATACAGAAGTCTCGGTGACCGGCAACACCAAGTCCAAGTCTTTCAACGTTTTCGACGTGGTACGTAGTAGAACTAAATTTGTTGTTACATTCCTCTCTGGATGAGTGATGTTGACGATAAGCTGTGCCTACAGTTGAATCAGAACTCCGACAAGGACGAGGATGCCGACGTCGGGCAGGAGGATGAGGACCTGGTTCCAAGCAACGCGGATTACAACGACACGAAGCGTAGAAAGAAGAAGAAAAAGCACAAGAAATTGGAGAACAATCGAGCCAAGCAGGAGTACGATGCAGAGGATAACGAAAACGTCGACGAAATTGAACGAAGTGTAAGGGAGGTGAATAAATTGCTTGGCGAGCCACTGCCGGGTTGCAGTAATCAAGATTTGGAAGCGCAATGGGTTGATAGAATATCCAAGGAGAACGTATTGACTGTACAGCGTAAACACTTGAATCCGTATAACGAATTGAAGAGGATCTTTGGTAGCAAAACTGTAGAGGCAGGTCAAAGGTAGTTATACATCTATGTGTATAATTATATGTGTAAAATATGTGGATAACACGCACCGCAAAAGTTCTGAGTTCTTTGCTGAACCAAAGGCGCTTTCTTTCTTGCAGCAAGAAAAGTAAAGGCCGCCCTGGGAATTTAAAGAAGACGTGGTTGACTTGCCCGCCAGACAATTGGGTTCCAACCAACAAATCCGGATTATCGATGTCTCTAGATCACTCTATGAAGACTACGGGGAATGTACAGTATTTTGTATACGAACATAGCACCTCGTACAAAGAGATACAGCACAAATTCTTGCAAGCAGTTGAAAGTCTGAATCCAGAAAACATACTCGTAAGTCAAACTATAAGTTGGCCATATGTGCAGCGACATTAGTGATATTAGACTTTATGCTTTGCAATTCTGGGGCACAGTTTTACCGTAATAAAGCTCACCTATTAGATATTTCTACAAATAAATTTCATTTAAATCAATTCGATATATAAAATGGTAATGCAAGTTATTATGTTTCAGAGTATACTGAACGCCCATTCTTACCACATAGACTCCCTCCTGCAGGGGTCTGAAATATTTAAAATAAATGGTGATTTAGCGTATGCGGCAGAGTTTATCAGACGGGCGCTATTCTGCTTGGAGTGTGCGTTTCATCCGTTTTTCAATGTGACAACCGCGCAGTGTAGATTGGACTATAGGAAGCAACAGAATCGTGCACTTTTTATAACGCTTTTTAAACATCTTGGATTTGTCGGTGGACGTGCCTGTTACAGGTAATACACGCATGCTAAAAGAATGTCAAAGAGTGAGAAGATGAGACTCTACATTAATTTCAATGAAAATTTCAGAACGAGCTTGGAATTTTGTAAATTACTTCTGTCATTGGATCCTGAAGGTGATCCATTAGCGGTGATCTTGTGCATTGATTTCTACGCCTTAAAAGCCAGGGAATACGAATGGTTTCTACAATTTTGTAATCTGTGGGAAGAATCGAGAAATTTAACTCAATTGCCAAACATAGCGTACAGCCTGGCACTGGCTCACTTTCGTCTGGGAAACAAAACTGAGGCTGATACGCTTCTGCAAAACGCTCTTATCATGTTCCCAGGTGTACTGATGCTCTTACTGGAAAAATGCAGCATACAAACGGACGCGAAGGTAGACTTGAAAAAAAAAAATTTTTCTTCTTAAGTGTTACATTTCTTGAAAAAATTATTTCAGAGCACAATAAAAGTACTCTGAGAAGAAATGCTACTTAATTATTTAAATATTTCATTTTTTTTTTCTTAGGTAATGAGCCATGAGTTTTTCAACTCTAAAGCGCAAGCTGACACATCGCCGGCTCTAGAGAAGCTGCAAAAATTATACGTAATGCGTAGTTTCCATCTCTGGAAGGAGGCAGATATTTTGCCGTGGTTGGAAGAATGTGTGCACGCCGTGCTAAATCGAGTCGAGTCCAAAGATGATTACATCAAGTACTGCCAAGTGAAGCGTAGCAAGCGCTATCGGGGAAAGCCGCCGAGGAACATTTTGAGACACATCCTGCTCTCAGATTTGCAGGAAGTTATAGTTAACGTTCACGAGGTACTTGATGATCTCGTACTCCGCATATTGTGTTGAAACATCACTGTAACTCCAACTTAAAATTTGTATACTACTTATTTCAGATCCAAGGCGAAGACCCGATGTTGTCGTACGATCCGTTACCGCCATTAGACAGCATCGATATTTATAAAAAGCCTACAGCAAACAATAGACCAGCTGAAAGCAGCTCAAATTTCTTTTTCCTCTTCTTCTCTTCGCTTTTCACGGACATCAATGGCGCAGCTGCTGCTTTAAATGATTTGAACCTATTGTAAGTACACGCGCAAAAGTAAAAAAAAAAAAATAATTATTTCGAGGGAGAAAGAAAGCAATGATTGTTTCGAAGGATGGGAATGTAGTATCGTAACTATTCTTTCGTAGTTATCCACTGATTCATAATTAAAATAGGTTATTGAGTATTGTAAATTAAACAGTAAATGTTCACAAGTACTCATTTAGATCATACGCGATTAAAAAATATCAAGTGATATTAATTGTAATTATTTGTTTGTTTAGCGAGGAGAATGATGACCACGCATAATAACGGCTTTCTCTAATTCTATGGAAACTTAACGATACCAGAGAAGAAATATATGCAAATTGTGCAATTTTAAATAATTCATATTGTTTTAAATAGTACATGTAAAAATGCAAAAAAGTAGTTAGTACATATAATAATTCAATAAGAAAAGAATTCCAGAATCATTTGCTTTCGTGTATAAAATTGCATTTTTTTTGTCAGAATTTTTGCTCAGTTGCTGTAAAATTGCTTTTGAATATATTATCTAGTGTTGCATTTATATTATGCATCACTGATTAAACAACAATTATTGTAACATCATCATAAATCTGTTATTATATATCTGTTATACGTATTTTTTTTTTAAAGACTTGTAAATATGGTAAATATATCTATACCGCAGTAAATAGAATACATAGTAAATTCTATGAAAATGCACCTCAGACACAGTGTATACAGTGGGTACGTCATGAATGATGATTGATTAAATATCAAGAACAGGAATAAAATTACATTAATTTTCATAATCTAATAATACAATTCAAGTCATATACTCAAACACGCCGACGTGATACTGTGAAAAGAAGTATTAAAAAAAAATTAAGTGTACAAACAAGTCGGAATCTTCGAATTATTTTTAATTGCATTTTTAGCACCATGTTAGAAAAACGAAGTAAATTATCGGAGAATCCTCACATTCGTAAATGACAATACTCTTAGAAATGTTTTCGATCGTCGTGTGCTCGTCCCGATTTTATTTCTTAAACCATACTGTGAAATACGGGATTATAACGACAAATTCCAGGACCGTATTCTTGGTACGCCTTCTTCGTGTGGCAGACCGTGTAGAATTCCGGATCACTGGCCAGTAATGCACCGCCATACCATACTGCGCAACGTTGCTTGTGATGCGATATCACACGAACATCTATTGGTTTTGGCTGGAATACAAATAGAATTCAGTGGGTCACGGAGTACAATTACAAAACCTCTCACACAAACGCAAATTGTTCTCGTGATTATCTACCGTAATATGGCTGCCGCTCAGCGTTTCGCTGAGCTTGAGCCGCGTGTCGACGATCTTCTTGATGTCGCGCTGCAATCGTCTACCAAAGTCTTTGAACATGGTGGAGCCACCTGATAATACAATATTACTGTACAATGGTCTCCTGACGTCGATCGGGCAGTTTTGAATCACGTCGTCGACGATTTCGTTGAGCGGCGTTGTAAAGTCCGGATTGGAGAACTGAAATATTCAGAGAATGTTAAGCAATATTACACAAATTTAGTGGCTACACGCGTGGGCAAAACTTACCTCGGGATGGAAGAATATCTCCGGTCCGAGGAACCTTTCGTATCCGACGTCCACCACAAAGGGTTGCTTGGTGATATTGTTGATACCCTCGTACTTCTTAATTTTCGTAGGATCGCTGTCGTACTTGGCGAATTCCTTCGATATATCCGGACATATGTAACAGTACTTCTCTTTGATTGACTTGGCCGTTTCTAGCGATTGCTCAGGCGGTATCCCGATCTCTCGTTCCCTCAGCAGACTTTGTATGAAATAGGTGATATCGCGACCAGCGATAGGAATGTGCTTTATACAACTTCCTATGACGAAACCTTCCGCCTGCGAAAACGCAATGACCAGAGATGGAAGATCGGGATTTGAAAAGCGCGACGTTAAAACGCGAAACATTTTGATGTTCTATACGTACCACTGGAATCACGTGAGTCACACCGTCTCCACTGTCGACGACGACGCCTGTCAAGGTGCGGTCCTCCACGTTCTTGGCCGTCCACGAGGCTGCTAAGGCGAGAACGGCTTGCACAGCTATGTAAAGTCCCGGCACGTTAAACGACTCGAACATAATTTCCGCGGTGTACTCCCTATTTTCCGGCGTGTTCAGAGGCGGCTCGGTTAGGAGGAAATAATGGTCCTCAGGCTCTGACCTGAGATACTTGAAAATGCATTGCTGCAAAAACTTTTCCATCAAATCCCAATCCTCCACCAGTCCATGCCTCACTGGATACTGTGAATTTAAGGAACAAGAAAAAAATCGATAAGTAAATCGAGGAAAGAAAGATCGGTCCCGCTTCCGAACGAATTTGGCCCGCGAGTAAGTACTTTAACCGAATATCCAGTGGCCTCGAACGCCTCGTCCCCGATGTAAGCGTCCAGGTCCTCCACGCCTTTCGTAATCCTCCTGGCATTATTGTCGCCGACCTTAGCCGTCTCCTTGATGGCGATCGCCGACGGTATAGTCAGTTGGGGCTCCTTATTACCAGCGAAGCCCAGTTTTGTGTACCTACGAGATAACGCCGCGATTAAATAGATAACCACACCACGAGCGCGTAATCGCGATTACATCGCGTGGGCGGCAATTATTTCTAATAACGACGCGACACGCCGATACGACTCGCCGCGGGACGACAAGGGGTTTTTTTTTTTTTTTTTTTCATCGCGAGGAACGCGGAGGATACACGTGAATCGTCGAGAAGCGAAGGGGGGTACGCGGCGCGCGTATAGTGGGCTCGGCCCGGAGGTTGCGGTGTCATCGATGACAGATCGGTCGGAGCGGCCTAACCTAGAACCGACTCCGCCCTGCTCCGACTGCTCCGAGATCGAGCATCCCGTTCCGTCGTTCCCGGGAATCTTGCGCTTACCCCGTGCCCACGTCGATGACACACGCGGGGAGACGTCCGAGCATGATTCCGGCACCACCGATCGCTCTTGTCCCGGCGAAACGCAACGCACCCGCTCCGACAACGGACGCGAACGCTAACCCAGGGCGCCGCTGACCACACCAAACGCCAGACCGCGACCCGACACCGCCGGAGACTGCTGCCCCCGCGGAACGATACCACCAGAGGCGCACCAGATACCACGCACCACGCCTCGACGCCACGCCAGGCGATACCGGGTACGTAGCCTCAGGCGCGAGATGTCGCGAGCGCGGCGCGCTCGCTCGCGTCTCGTCGCGAAAACGCGAGAAACGTCCGTCGTCGTTGCTCCGCGATTTTTGATATAAATATTCGTCACTTGCGAAATCGTTGGTCGGAAAAGAGTTAATTACTCCCGCGGGCCGTGGCGTTCAATGAACGTTCAAAATATGTGATCGTGTTTCGAGGCGGTAAAGTCCCTAAATTATTAAGTACCGCAATCCATAACACTCAAATTTGGAGCTAAAATGGCGTTTACATATATATATGATTTAGCGTATTATTTACAAAATAGATATATTCATACACGTAATATGTATATGCTTTGAATGATCGCGTTTGAAGCCGAAATGACAGATGATTGCGGTATTTTATAAATTTAGTGATCGAGGCGGGATAACGCACCGCTGCCTGCGTATTCGAATATATATATCGAAATGGTAAGCGCGCTTCTGACCTTTTATGTATATATAAACAGCGCGTCGGATATTAATTGAGTATTAAATTTGCTTAAACCAACCGCTACGAAATATTTAAATTCATATCCGCGTGCATATTGCAGAATAAATGAACGTCAAATATTCCTTACGGTTCAATAAAATGGATTATTGTAGTAATATCGCACATAGGTATATATACTTTACGATTAATATATTAAAAATGCTATTCGATTAAGAATTTCATAAATATCGCACGCCACGAAATCGAAAAAAAGATACATCCTTTATATCATTTCAAATTATCTCGTGTACGCTTCGACTGGCTGCAGATTGATTTTCGTCTTTCGTGCGACTCGCGACTTTCGAACTTCGCTGTGCACTGCAGCTTATAAAGGTACCTATTTACTCATAGGCGCGTCATTTGACGCTCGCGTCATAATTTATAACAATATTTCTTTGTCGGAAACAGTTATAATTTTTGGTCGTCAGGTTCTCACCAGGGCATGAACTTTTGAACGCTGGCGACAAATGCGATGACGCTTTTGCAGTTGGATGAATTCAACTGTAAATGCGTGAAACGCGACTGCAGTGCTAAAAGTCGATCACTACATCGCAGTAGACAGAAATGATCGGTCCATAGACCGCGATTCGATGTCTATATGGACCGACTATTTGTGCCTCGGTATACTTATAATCTAATATAGTTATTTCTCAAATGATGCGTGATCGACGCGCGCGTCAAATGACGCGCCTATAATGAGTATATGGGTACCTCTAGTCGTTCGCGTTCTTCACGCGATTTATCGATCCGTATTATAGAGATCATGAGGGGAGGATCGGAAATTTTTTTATTAGATTAAGTACGTTTCGTCGCAATTTACTTAACGATTTACTTAACGGATGATTATGTCTCTCGATGGATATTTGGCATTATTGCACGGAGAGAATTTTCTTTTAAAATTTACCATGAAAATCATGTTAATTGTGAGACAATATAGTATTTAGGTAAATTTTACTGTGCACTACAATAAATTTTACTGCGAAATCTTATTGTAATGCACAGTAAAATTTGCCTAAATACTATATTGTCTCATAATTAACATGATTTACAGGGTAAATTTAAAAAAATTCTCTCCGTGTGCTTATTCGTTAATCTGAAAATAGTTTGGCCGTCATCGCTTTCGGATGATCTCGGAGATCGCGGAGTTAACACACGAATTGTCGAATGATCGCGCGCGATTTAGTGTGACGGAATACGCGAATCGATGTGATTTATTTTTTAACGGAAATGTTGCAGCGGTGTGTCGATTGCACTTGTATCTCCGCGGTATTTTATTTATGCTCGAATTGAATCGCGAGTGTGTCTCGAGCGTTACATTTAGCGGATGCAAGTTATTCACTCGGTTCGGTTGGCCGTCGACTCGACTCGGCGTTAACTTTGCGTCTTAACTTCGAAAATGGCAAAATATACCACGCGATTGTTATCCGCGTTTTCGCGCGTTTTAGTGTCTCACGTTGAGAAAGTTTTACGAAACTGACAATTCAGATAACCTGGCTGAGAGGAAGTGGTGAGTGCAATTGATTTATATATTGTGACGCATATACGAACGTATATATCGTCTATTCTCCTCTTTAATCGAACCGTGTGTTTGAATGATTCAGAAAGTGACGATGCGGAGATCGCACATCGAAGGAATCTAACGAAATTGACAATCCAGACAGCCTGAGAGGAGGTGAAGAGGTCTGGGAGAGGCATCGGGCGCCAGCGGAACAATCTTGCGGTATTATTTCTTACTTGTGGAAAAATTAATTGTTTTTTTTCTATTTATCCGGATTGTTTTATTTTAGTAATTTTAAAAATAATTACAAGGAAAAAGAAATAATTTGAAGTTTTATAAAAGTTTATTCTTTCAAAAATATTCGGGAAATGTATGATATATTTTAGTAAATATATAATTAAAACATACAAATTTTGCGTAAGAATCTTTTGAAGTATTCGCTATTTTTAGCGTTTCTTTAATTTGAATCTTCCATCCGTGTGTTATACAGAATCGTCGTAGCTACGTGCAGGCCGATTAACTCCGCTGTTGCGCATCGGTTGGTGAGTGAAAAAAAAATTTTGATCAATGATTTTGATTAATGTTTTCTGTGTTTTTTCCCGTGGACTCGATTCAAATTACTCAACGTACGATACAGTATATATGTTATACTGCAATCATTTTACATCTAGATGACCGAAACATTTAAACTACAATATAAAATTTATTTTTATTTATTATAAATATCCTTCAATTAAGTATCATGAAAAATTAACAGTTGCGCGTAAATTCCACAATTAAATAATTTATAACCATCAAACACTTCCATTTTACAAAAGAGGATAACGTGAAAAATCGCTGTATTAGCTTGATATCAGAATTTGGAAATGAAAATTTTCCTATGTTGCAAATTGAAATAGAATAGAATGTAGAATAGAATTGTACATAGAACTACACGCATGTATAATATGTGCACAACTTCACGAAACATTATAAATAATTAATATATGGCAATAACATATAAATTTATAAATATATAGATAACTTGTGTTAATTACAAGAAGCGAAACAATTTGTCGCCTTCCGTATTTCCGCTATGTCCATCGAAAGAATGCGGAAGTTTGTCTCGTTTATATTCATTGCACCGATTATTGAATGTTGGCATCTGTTCGTCAAGATTTTCATGCTTTTAGAATGCGATCTATCTATCATTTTCATTCCAATTATACATTGTAATTCTTCGGAATTTTGCACGATGACCTCCTTAAAATACGATATATTAATTAATACAGCAATAAAAATTATTATACCGTTAATTATTATACAAACGATCGTTTGTATATATATTGATCGCGTTTTAGAAATTAAGTGATATAAAATTTTGTTATTCTATGCAAAACTTAATCACGTTTTTAAGTATCTCACCATATTATCGGGACCAATTTTCTTGGTGGCATCCGCACACATTATGGACGTTTCTGGGAAATTGCTGAAAAGTATTGCACATTCCTCGAATATTATCGGCCCTGTCTGGCCTGATAATGTACCCGCCAGTTGTGTTACCTCGTTGGCCTCGCTGTCGCTTAACGAACAGTCTATTAGCTTCGAAATTTCTATTTTGTACAACTTGTCCGCCGCAAGAGCACTGTAATATAAATCTACAATATTCACGATAGAGATATTAGAGATAACAATCATGAAAACATTATAGCGAAATAAAAGAAATAGTAGGTATACGAAAAGCGGCAAATCTGAGTCATTCTTGATCATCTCTTCATATACTATTCTTTTATTGCTAATTTCACGAATCTTAGGGTTTATAAAAAAAAAGTAGAAGATTAAAATGCTTAACGTTCGCCACGCTATGTGAAAAGCTTACACCTCTAACGACTATAACAATTTCTTTGTTAGAAAGCATTCAACTGTTCGAGAAACGAGTACTTACCTTTATGAACGATCGCCAAATGATGGATACCGTCTGTTAAATTAAAAGATATATTTTCTATAGTGAAAGTTTTCCTATTCGGTTTCATAAATTCAGTTTCGATTCTGCAGAATTTCGAAGTATTTGAGTTGTACACCACTAAACCGTATCCCGCCGTGTCAGTTATGAACACCTGCGTCACAATTTTAGATATGCAGTTTATATCAGTAATATGTAAATTTAAACTTTAGACATCAATTATATCAATAATTATGTAAATTTAAACTTTGGACTTCAATTAAATATTGAAAGAGCAAACTTTACAGGCATCAGTTAAATACACATGACTAAAGATTATTTTGTGATTAATACGATTCATATATTTAATTAAGTATATACTAACAATTGCGGTATCCTTTATATTTTCACAATAAGGAGCGACAACAATGGGTGTCGTTAACAATCCGTTGGTGCCGTTTTTGCTATTAGCGACGTTAAGAGGGATGTTAATACGCTTAACCAGCTTATCATTCGATAAATCGAAAATCAGTAATTGCGGAGGACAAACATTATCGTTTCCAATCCTGCCACTATCCACAACGAAGATGTGGTTGCATTTAATCTGATACATGAGAAAATAGAAATTATATTTCGGATTATATTTATTAATCTTATTATCTCTTACGCGGATTACTGTAAAATTGGACGAAAGTGCGGTATTTGCGATATATTGTTAAGTAAGTCGTTTAAATGTAGATATTATAGACAGCAAGATGATTGTCACTTGCAACTAAGACTTACACAGATTCGATAAACTGCTGTAATACCTTTGCAACTTTTATTCGTATGCCAAGACCAATTCGGATACGGACGCAGAAGCGGACTTCTTTCTTCTTTTTCGTTACTTACCGTCATGACAGTAGCCGGAACGTCTTTATCTTTTACCGCAGTAATGAATATTCTACCATCTACGAAAGTTTAGCAAAATCCGTCCGTATATTTCATAATTCCATTGCAATAATGACATTATATACAATATACATAACGGGATCAAAATATGTAACACAATAAAATGAAATAGTTGATATTTAATACTGTAATAATAATAATTTTTTGGACTTAAGGATATTTCTATTTTTGTACAAATTTTTGCATAATACCAGCTAGCTTACCTGGTGCCTCGTCTACATCCTCTAAAACAATCGAACCGGGATTATATTCGCCGAAATCTATCGCTTTTTGCCTCTGCTGTGGACTTTCCCAGAGAAAATCAATGTACTTCCATGCGTACAAGAGATTTAATTTAACGCCGAAGCTCATAATTGCCATTGATAGAATTAATATGCTAATCAAAAAATGCTTCATTTTTAATGCAGCTATAATTCGATATTGCTGAACGCGATGAAACAATGAATTGCACTATCATAGACACGTATTTTCGCAAGTCCGAACATTTATAATTAACGTTGTCCAGTATTTATAATTTATTTCGAATTCTATTTAGATAACGGGAATATATATGTCTTTCAGAAATATAGTTTTGCAGCTATAGGATTCATAAAGAATTTTAGCCTCGTTAAAATTTCTTCAGCTCATTATACGCTGCGGTATGCATGCGACCTGATTACACAACAATTTAGTGATAATTCTCATGTTGTAAAAAACTTTATTAGAAGGTAAAAAATGTACGTAAAGTACTACATAGAAAATATTTAAGAGCGCATGCATTATTAAATAAAAAATTAACTTCTCAAAAATAAATATAAAATAAAAAATCGTGCGTCTCGATAATATAATCCTCTCTGATCATTATATAAAAAATTAATTGCTCAAAAATAAATATAAAAACCAAGGATCATGGTTGTGTTACCTGCTGGAAATATCCTATTACATACTTCAATGTGCACGTATTGTGCACATAGAGGCGCTGACGGACGTGATCACCCAAAAAAGCGAGCGTGTTCACACTCTCAGATTTCTCTTTGCACATAAAAGAGCAAGGTGCAAGATACTTTTGTTGGAAGTTCAGACTTATTTTGCACTAGTTGCATTGCTTACGCTACTTCGTTATCTACACCATACACATGTAATATCTACGGTACATATGTTAAATCCGTATCACATTGCGCATTGGAGACCTAGAAATTCAGGATGACTGAAGATTAGAATTCAATCAATCAGATTAAAGCTTAATTTTAATCCGTTTTGTTTCTTCGTTGATGAAACGACGAGATTACGCGCCCACACATGTGCACCCAAGTGCACTGAGGTGACTGAGGCTTTTGCGCGTGTGCATGCGTGTGCGAAGGGTCAAGCCTTGAAGAACTGTCAAAAGTGGATGTTAAAAACGGTGGACGATTATGCGGTTAGTATCATCAAATAATTCATTGTAAATCCATTTGCACGATCCGACAGAGAGGAAAGAGAAAGAGAGAGCGCTCATGGAAGTATTAATTTAATAGATACGGCGATGCGGAGCGTTGACCGTGATCAGCACGAGGAACCGTTCAATAAGAAGTAGATTTAGCAGACAATCCGATTGCCTCGAGGAATATGGACCCGGATGATCGAGGCCTTCTGCGTCTCGTCGTTTAGTGGAGATCCAGCTAGGGGCGTACATAACGGAGCACTGAGCCGAGTCACAACCTGAAGGTCCGATCGAAGGATGCGAAGGATGCCTACTGACATTTTCCTGGGAAACAGTGGCACACTTCATCGTTCCTTGATGTTTATACTGAAGCTCGGCTGGCAGTCCAGATTCCGCTTGCCCGTGCTCCTGGTCATTGTCTTCGTAGCCATGGATTATAGACTGCAGCTGGAGATCGAATTCGGGGACAATGCGGACCAACACGATGATCTGTGATCGGAACGGATGAGATCAGATCGATGTGATACCATTAATTTATATACTTATATATGTATATATATATCTAATGTAGCCCGCATGAAATAGTTTCTACATTGATCAAAGTAGAAACACGAATCTTACTCGATTAGAGCGTTTGTAACGTTAGCGTTAACTGTTGACGATCGATAACAATTATCATACATTTTAAAAGATTTCAACTTGCGGTTGCTGCTTCGCGCTCGGTACTTGTTGACTATTAGCACTTCGACTTACCAGACTGACATACGTATTTGACATATACACTTAACTTAAGAATTTTATAATATATTTACCTTATATTGTTCTATCTTATAATGTGTATGTGTCTTGTAACATATTTATATTGTAAAGTATATACATTGTCCAAATTAAGTTGGATACGCATAATTTAATACAATTTTATTACAGAGGTAATAGATGTAATAAGACTGGGTAATAAACATGGGTACGAGAGAAAGAAATACGAATAGAATTTATATAAAAGCTTATTAAATATAGGCTTATGAAATTGCATGAAAGGAGACATCTTCCATTTGTCGCGATCATATTTCCATATGAACTTTGCGATTATTAAGAAGAAGATAAGAAATAAATAGCAGAAAGTATATGAGAATTTACTTGCATGCAAAGATGTAAGATAAATTGTGTCAGAAATATAAATGAGATATCTTTATTAAAAATCGATTATAAAGTATACGCAAAAAAAATAGAGGATTTGTAAATACTTCTTATCATATTGTAAATTGCTTGTATATAACAGTTGCGTTATGAATAAATAAACAGGAGACCATTTATTTTTAGACATGTATTACTAGTTTTTTTCTTACTCACTTTTCTAAGTAAAGACATGTCTTTCATTTATTACATTTAATAATAAATAAGAGTAAGTTGAAAACTGAAAATCTTTTTATAAAAAATATTTAAATTTATTTTTGTTAATACGTATATCTTTTATGATGTTTGATATTAAAAAAAATTAATTTTCTAAATGTTTTCTTCAAAATTTCTTACCAACACTTTAAATTTAAATTATTTAATGTGTTAGTAGAAAATATTTAAGGACACATTTTAAATATTTTTTTTTTAAATTGTTTCAAAAAATTACGATTTAAAAAAATAATAGCTTATCTATAAATAATTTAGATGAGTTACCGAAACATGATTAAATATATTAATATATTCAAGAAAAACAGGTCGAATTTTTTTACTATTTATCATTTTTAATATTTTAATTATGAGAATTGCTCTTTTAAGTTGCATTTTTTTAAGATTATTTTTATTTAATATAAAATTATATATTTGACAAATTTTTTCTAACTAAATTCTCTCTAATTTTTTCGAGAGCGTTCAAAAAGATTAAAAATTAAGAGAAGGAGTACATTGTACATCCTTTATAAATTAGGTATAATAAATTAAAATGTAGGATTTTATTACTCCTGGACTTTTAAGGATTCTATTTTTTAATTATAAGAGCTATCGAAGTACATAAATAACACAGGCCTGCGAAATTAGGGTCCTGAAGCCACAGTAATCCCTTGAAAATGGTAAAAATTACTTTTTTCGATCCATATTACCACATTTGTCCCAAAAATCTGATGTGATGGACATTTTTCGCTCGGTTTCGGTGACCAAAATTACGTAAGAAGTCAATATTCTGCTGCTTATTTTCTTTCAGGACCCTTAATTTTGCAGGCTTGTGTAATTCTTTTTCAATTCCATCGAAATAGAATTGCCGCTGAAAATAGAGAGCAAATCTTTCACAAACGTGGTCGGAAAGCCGCGATAATCCAGCGTGGTCCCGTGGAGAACACTTTTCCTGTCAGGACACGTCTATCTTATGAAGAAAAAGTGGTACCACGTGCTTCAGCATTTACCAATTCGCCTCGGGAGCATCGCGCTTTTTCTTTATTGAAGAAAAGGCAATCGACAATAAATTTCGCCGACGTTTATGTCGACGTGCTCGCGGTGGGAGGTTCGGCTTATATAAACGGCGTGCAAATGAAGTTTATCGGTTTTTCTTAACACAGCCGTCCCGATGGAAACTAGAGTTCCAGGATATCCCAGTGTTCTTGGGATCCTTCTTCTGTTCGCCTACTTCTCGTCGCGAACCGAAGCGGCATTTGATCCCGAAAGTTTTCGTGAGTGAATTAATGACAATAAGCACGCAGGGTGACAAAGCGAATGCCGGAAGAACGATTTTAAGTAATACAAACTTTAAAAAATTTTTTTAAACGTATTGTATTAGGTGAAATAGAAAGTTCTTAGCTTAATTTAAATTTTATATCGATCGGAATATCATTTCAAATTGAAATATTCTCGCGCCTTATTTTGCGATTTTGAAGTTAATATTAATATGTGACTGGATATTGTAAAAAAAACTATTACACACCGACATCCGTTAGCTCTCATAGGTCTTTATTGCAATATGTTTGATTTATTCTTATAGAGAGCTTTGCATGTAAATAATTATTTTAATATTTATTAATAGTTACAAAAAGCCATAATGGGACAAGTTGCTTAACCTCAAAAATCAATATTGTTAATCAATTGTTAACGAGTCATTCTACATGATAACGCACGGTCACATATTGCTGAGGCGAAGCAATTAATCATTTTCGCGTTGGACTGGGAACTTTTCCCGCGGCGTATTCATTTCAGATATGACCCCTATTTACCATCTATTCCGTGCGCGATGCAACATGCATCGTTTGACTAAACACACTTCAGAACTCTCTAAATTTTCGGAGTGAATCTCATTCCAAAAGATTGAAAATACTGTCACTCGGTCACTTGAGTGGCAGTGTTTTTACTCTTTTGGAGTGAGATTTACTCCAGAAAATTTAGAGAGAATACAATTAAGAAATCCGAAAAAGAATCGATGACTTTATTGCTTCAAAACCGCTAAACTTTTATCATGTACATACCTAGGAATTCGTAAGCTACCCGAGAATTGGCAGAATCGATAATAATGGGAAATATTTTTTATTAAGCTTTTTTTATATGTTCGTCAGCTATAAAGATTGAATTTTGCAAAAAAAAGCTAAAAACTTTTTACTACACCTAATGACTGCCGTGTTCCAAGATATTTCAAGATCGAAACGTATACAATATATATATATATATATATATATATATATATATATATGTTAGACATGTTTAACATGTTTCGATTAAATTTCTTCTCGTTGAATGCTCTCGAATGCACTCGCGCGAAAGAACTTGTATCGAAGTGTATTGAATAAAATGATGAAATAACGACCATTCCAGAGCAAAAACTAGTCGCCTTGCAAAAGGTTCTCGACTACATGAACAACAGACCAGAGCAGATGAATCTGGACGCTACTATTGGTGTTACCTTAACTGAAGGTAAAGAATCATAATTGCCAATTAAAATCACTGAACACAACATGATAAATTATCACATATCTTTTGCGAGAAATCTAACAGATTAAGATTTCTAGAACGAAATTTGAGAGAAGAGCCAAGAATTTTAATTTCTCACTAAATACATATATTAAAAAATACACAGACACATTTGTAATATAATTTGAAATAAATTTGATGGCCAATCTATCTTCATTTAAATAGCCAATTTGGTGGCGGCGCTCCTGCATGAAAACGTGCAATATCTGGAAGATAAATTCTTTATCGCTCTTAAAGAAATTGTCGCACTATCCGATATGACTCGAAGGCACTTGATGGCTTTTATTCCGAAGAATGAAACTAAATTTTTAAGTAAGTACAATGAATATATGATACGCACAAGAGACAAACAACCAAAGATCTATTTTTTTAATTATATTTTACTTCTTTTTGTACACGTTTTCCATACTTATGGATTTCTGAGAGAGATAAAAAGTGCCAGTAATTATATAAAAAAAGGTAGGAGAGCTTCTCCAAAAGGAAGAAAAGGAAACAGGTTTAGATGCTGAAATTTTATGATCGCTTTTGACTATTTGCACTCTTAAAATTTTTAATCAATAAATAAATTAATAATTTTAATAAATAATTAAATAAATTAATAATTTTTCAAAATTGAAATTAAGAAATTTTGAAATCACGTTTTATTTAAACACGTATTGTTGAAAAACCTTTTTAGTTATTGATTAATGCTACCGGATATCACATATCAAGTTTGTGAAGTATTAAAGTTTTACAGTGCTATCGGCTTTAAACAATCCCAAACTGTGGATAAAACCTATATCGTGGACGAGGATCTTTTCGAGATCGAGATCTCATCCCCGTCAATCAAGCTATCGGGAAATCGTTCGATCGATGCAATGGATCATGCATGGAACGCCCACTGAAACGGAAAGCGATCAATGTTTAATCGAAATTGTGCGTAGCGATTTAGAGGGGAAATGTGAGATTCCCGCCACTTGTGTTGCAACATTGATGAGGGATGACGATACTACCGGTTATCCTCTCACGCATAGACTGCTCATCGTTCAAGTCGCTAAAGCGGTAAGACATTTGCTAAGAAATTTTTATTTGGTATTGTATCCTACATTTATTATTTTATATACGTGTATTACGTTGACGAAAGAAAAAGAGAGGAAAGTTTTTCTTGAACATTTTTACGTTTCTTTGTGCAAGTTTAATTAATAAAAAAAAAGATTGATTTCAGCTGGGATGCGAGAAGGCGAATACGATATCGCTCTCTTCCTTAATACCCGTGTATTGTGCCAGGATTTTTAAGGAATTCATCAATATCGAAGCATGGAACTTCCCAAATGTTGCGCGGGATCTCATGTTGGAACAAGGTACACGTGCGCGCGATAAAAATATTAATGCTTTAATTGCGGCTCGCGTTTTGATTGTAAACCGGCAGTGTGCGGGACATGCTCACGTATACATACGGATTTTCCATTGACAATCAAGCGTATGTGTACTCGTTTCTTCCGCAGCTAAAGCACCCCAAAAAAAATTCTATTCTTTAGCAATATCCTTTTAATGCTAAAATATTTTTTTCTTATATATGGCTTGAGAGGATATTCTAACATGTAGAGAAATATCGAATTACTATGAGAATTTATTCTTGATTATAGTGCATATGTCTTTTTTATAGATAATATTCTTGATTATAGCGCACGATTATACGTGCTTCTTTGTAGATAAATACGCCTTATAGCTGAGCTGCACATATAAAATAAAATGTGATAAATATTGCATATCTTTTTTTATCTTTTCAGTCGTTTTATGTGGCATGGAAGGTTACTATGAGTTCGTCGATAAACATTATGAAGATACAATACTGAGTTGGCCTCACTGGAGCGGCTGTTTTGCCTTATTCGAGTAATTGTCTATGCTATTAAGAATATATTTTTCTGAACGGAAATACATGCACCCATTATGCAGTTACAATATTTCACGTCGCAATTATTACAATTGACACGGAATTTATTGCAATGATTGTGCAAAAAAAATATCCAAGTATGAACGTTATGTTAAATGTTTCAGATTTTCTAATGAACACCACATCACTCGGCGATCATCGTCGAGAACCGACTTCGGATGCGATAATCATATGACAAGCCTTGGCGCCGCAAGTCTCGCCGTATTTATTCGGGAAAATATAGAAAATGCTCTCAGTCAGTCTTAAATTTTTTTTATTTGGATAGAGCATTTTTTTATATAATTTTTTATATGTATTTATTTCTTTCTATTGTATTGAAGATTTGATTTTTTTGTTAAAGTTTTTCATATTACATCATAATTTTTTACGACAAGAATATCTCTGGTTAAGTTAAATAGCCAACCTTATCTTGCTAATAAGAAATATGCCATACATTTGGAAAGAGTAAATGTAACAGATGTATATTGCGTAAAAAATGTATCGCACAAAAAGATCGTGCTACTTTTAAGAGAACTGAAATACATATATTGTATAATGTGTAACATACATAATACTTCGTAAGAGTTAAAATTAGAAGGGTTAAAACTCGTTTGAAATAAATTATTCAATAAAAAATGCTTATATATGCCAACACAAGATATAAATGTATATAATGAGTACATTAAATACATACATAAAATAGACGTTTCGACTCTATTTTGAGTCTTCTTCAGTTTTATGTTCTTTTTTCAGTATAATAATTAATGTTACATTAAATATTACATTAAAACGAATAGTCAGTGTTAAATTCGTAAAAGAGTTTATTTAGAAAAATACCGTAACTTTCAACAGCTATTGCAACAGACGACACTGAAAAAAGAATTAACAAAACTGTTAATACAGGCTTAGCAAAAATTGAAATTATGCAAACAAAAAAGGGCCAAGCTGGATAATGGTGCTAAATAAAAAGTGTATTTAAAATTAAACAGTATTAAAAAGAATTTACTTGTAATAAATAATATTTATTAATTGGTTGAAAAAGATACAATGGCACACGTTGTACGGAAGGTAAAAATAAGAAAGTTAAAATAGACAGTTAAAGTATAGAGATTCATTTTTATAATGGTATTGCGAACACTTATTTTACACATGTAGTGTGCGTAACACACTTCCGCTCCCTTCTGTTCCACAAATTAAAAAAAATTAAATAAAAACAAGAACGCTAAAATTAATTTAATTGCCGTTAATTGCCTAACTAATCCATGAATTCCATCTTATTATCGCTGTTGTGTCTCGACGATCTGAGAAGGATAGATATTTTTCTTCGACGAAAATTCATCTCGTCAAAAAACATTTCGTAAACTATCTTATACTGTTATAGTAGAGCTCAATTTGTCGATAACTTCTCGGTTTGCTAATCTATTTTTCCCTTTTTGATTAAGTCTTAATACAATAAAAGTAATAATCTCCATTAATGCCATTTGATATAATTTAATTAACAGCGTATAAAAAGCTTGTTCTTCGATTATTTGCTAATTACTGATTATATAGTAATTGCACTTGGAATATTTGACGCTTTAGTCGGAAGCAGAACTCTTTAAAATTACGGGAGTATTTATTCGTTAGGCAAATTAATAATAATGATAGTTAATTATAATAAATACGATTTAATGTACAAATATCCTAGTTTATCCTTATTTTACGCGGGATGCTCTTGCGAAGCGTCCAGTCATGTAAATCGAGATACATCGTGCTTTGGTGCAAATACAAATTGTGACGGGAATATCTTTATATGACGTTGTTTAAATAGATTTACAATTAACAAGAAGATATTCCCACGTCGTGGTACTGGGATAAATAATGACTTTAAGTAAAAATCGCTTTTGAATCCGACGTTATTCGGCGAATCTGAGATAAGTAAGTAATCGGTGAAAACGCCACGAGAACTGCTACAACTTGCGACCGATTGTAATAATGCGTCGTGAGCTTATAAATGTTTATACGAGCGGTAGCGGTTGCTGCGGTCGTCACGCCGTTCTCCAGCCGCGATCGCTTTCGCGGACAGGCCCCTGCAATCGTATCTACACATTCATCTTGCCCTCATGCTCGCCGGTAATTGTACGGCTTTCCGTAAGGACCCATTCTTTTGCTCATCTTCTCGATCCTCAACTGTTGGAAATAGCTGTACACCACCAGCCACATGTACGAGTATACCACTGCAAAAGTTAAAACGTTAAAAGTTTAATTGCATACAAATATGGTCTCAATTTCCATGAATTTCTTTGAAAAAAAAAGTTAGCTGTTTTCTGTTGTTAATTTGCTATTGAAAACAGACGGTCTCTGTAATTAAAATCGATTAATATTTCTATATATAATAAACAGTGCTGTTTTCGATTGTAATAATGAGCAAGAAAGGAAATGTTTTCCTTAAGACACATCTTCTTCTGAGTAATAAGAATTTTATTGAAGACTTGCGAAGGCATTTAAGGCGCGATTGATATTAAATACTCACCGACGGCAATTAGGCCGAAAACGAGCCAGAGAACGCCGTTGAGAATTTCGCCGTGTACCAAGAACATAATCGCGGTGTAAAGGACGCTCACAAGAAGGGCGACGGCCAGCATAATGCCCAGAACTACCCATGGAAGCATCATAAATGTATTTTTCTGCAAATCCAAACCGATCAGCATTATAGGATTGTATTTTATATGAAGTAATCTCACATATAATGCATATAAATTAAAAAAAAATTGATAAACTTCAATATCCATATTCATGATGAGAATATTTCTTTACCCTTAAAGCGCCGATTATGAGCAGCGTAGAGATCAGAATGGTCATGCAAAGATTGATAGCGAAGATGATCTTCACGGCCGTCTTGTCTAAGATGTCGATGATTATCGTTTTCCATTCTACATTCGCCGTGAAGATCAGGATCAGGGCAATTACGGCTAATACCTGCACAAAGTAGATTTGTGTAGTAATTGAATCACCTGCAAGCTGTGATAAACACAGAAAATATATACGATTGCGTGTACTTACGATACCACATACTCCGCTGAAGATTGTTCCCGTTTTCAGGGAACAGCATCTGCAACAGTTCGTCAGCTGCATTCTAAAATAAAGAGAAACAATTTTATCAAATTAATGAAATATCTAAGCGGATATTATAAAAAATTAATATGTATTATTTGCAAACATAATTCTGTAGTGTAATTTTTCGATATCAAAATATTTATTTTGATATCAAATGTTAAATTGTCAAATTACAGTCCTCTCTTTTTTTCTCTTTTATCAAATCTGGTTGACATTTACTTATTATAATAGATAAAAAATTGCTAAATGTGATAATGTGATTGACAGCAAATAACTAAGACGTTGAAAATAAATTAACGTTCTCCAATTGTTAACTTTTAGGAACGTTGAATGAGGACAATAATAAAAAGAAACTTCTGCTTTTAAAGTACCGACGTCGACTCTTTTCACGACATTATCTTGATCGAAATAGATCTGAATACGCTTTGCATAACTCCATCATATATTCGCCACACCCGCACCTCACCCACCGATCGCGCACGATGACGTAGCGGGTTACGGAATATTGGGCGATGATGTGACGGGATGATTCGTTCTCGACGTATCGCAACACCGCGCGCGAGAAGTTAATTTTCGTGTTATGCCGAGAATATGGGAAATTTAGGTCATTGGCATGTGCCGCGCGCGCTCGCGTCTATTTTAGACACTTAGGCGAGGAGTCGCGTGTTCTCGCGCCGTCGCTGACCTTCCTTCCGGCGTTTATTATTACTTCTCCAACACCCAGGGATCCAAATATCCGGCGACGGAGGATAGACACATCCTCTGCCATGACAGTAAACCCGTGCCACGTATATCTAATTATATGCATTTAAAATTTTAAATACTACACGATTCTTCTGCGGTTATTTGTAAAGCCGTACACGGTATAAGCTGCCGCACAAAATCGGCGTTCGTTTCCCATTTTTGTTCAAGCGAATAGCAACAGGCGAAGGTAGGCGTGTTCGGCTCGGGGAGTCCGATATTTCTTTGCCGCCTGTCTCCGATCTGAGGTCGACCCGAGGGGAGCAAGATCGCTATACATGCAAGAAGAACACGCGGCCGCGACTACGTTCGTGGCCGGACCAAGTTCGCTCGAGGTCTCCCGAGCCTCATAAGGAAACGCGTCTCACGGTCCTACGTCGATTCACTTCGCGTAAAAAGCCATACCACATCACCGTCGAATGATGACCGGCCGATTAAGATTACCTTGACGGTTCACGGTAAATTGACGGCTGTACTTGACCGACACTCGAGAGCGTAGCTCGAAAAAAAAAAGCAGCAGACATGAGGCCTCAATACCTACAACCACGGCCATTCCGATTCATGACGACAGAAGAATTGCGGATAATGTTTTCTTGCAAGATCTCTTTTGTACGATGTCTTTTGTAAGATAATCTTTGAAGGTTAATTTACTAACAACCGGCGTGAAAGACTTGTGGAACTCGGTTTCGCGGACGTTAAATGGAAAATATACGGAACAATTAAATGACACGGTTCGTTATAGCGACGAGAATCATTCTACGCGGTGTCGGATTAGTCAAGAGGAGACTCTCTGCAGGCGCATTTTCAGCCTGTCGAGGCTACAACCGGTTTCGAGTTTTGTTGACGAATAGTTCGCACAGGAATGCATAAATTTTACATGAATGTTCTCACTTCAAATGTTATAATCGGCGATGACGAGTGTCACTAATGACCTTCAATATTCCATTAAAAAAGATATACGGACAGAATGATTTTGCTGAAGTATATAAAAATTAGACCAGATATAAATCTGAGAGTAACCATACGCTGAACCATCAAAATAATTATGCAGGACGCTGAAGCATGACGATAATGCTGCGAGAAGCCTTGGCTGGTTCTAGCAATCATCTTCAGCGTCCAATATATAATTATTTAGAAATTTAGTCCAGTTTTGGTTCAACAATTATTTTTACATCTAGCTTTTTTAGATACTTCAGCAAAAACCATATTCTTCCATATGATCTCGAGAAAAGATCGAAAGCGGCAATCTATCAGAGAAACAATTTATCATCGTGCTTCGTCATCTCTATGACGAAGCATATATGATGATAAATCACACTTTGTATGACAAAAATTTCTAAAATTACAGTCGTAATATGTTCGTAACGCAAGTTTACCCCCTGTTAATAGACTATAGCGCTGCTGGTAGGTGCATCCCGGAAGAACGCACTATGCGTGGCATCGCTGAAACGCGCGATTCTATCCGGCTTGCGCAAAAAGAGATTGCGTCACCGCACAAGAGATCACTGTGAAACTCGGAGATCATTTTCCTAAAGAGAACGAGCGCTTTAAATGTCGGTATTATATACTAGTCTGCTTCAAGCCCTCGCGATAAACGAGTATTGCATCGTTTGCATAACCGTTTTCCGAAGGCACTGATTATTAATGACGTTAATATCAATTGCGAAAGTAGAAAATATACATGTTTACGTTAAATTATGATCCAATAAATTGGATTCATATACGCTTGCGTAAATTTATTATTTAGTAATAACTGATTTACGTTCCGAATAAAATACCGACTATTCCTTCAAAAACATGCGTTCAAACCTTTTGTGCTTTACAAATTATTTTATTTTATTTTATTTTATTTTTATATAATTTAATTTTATTTTGTAGAATTAACACGCGCGCGCGTTTATTACAAATTGACAGGTGCGATGCCTAATGGTTCTGGCGCTCGTTTGTGTTTTTAATTGCGATGCGCGAACAACGATGGTCGAACGTTTATCGTTCTCGGAACATATATAATTATTTGCAAACATTGCGCGGCGAAGATAACGGAAAGAAAAACAAAATTCTCGCGGAAGATATCGTCACGATCGACACGGGTGCGACTGGCGCGTTACACGCGTGCGATTGACGTTAAATTTAGGCGATGAGTAAGCCGCGTGCGAAAAAAAACGCCATTTAAAAATACACGATACTACTCAATCGGCCCGCTAAATGGGCCAATATATCGGTTTTCTTGACCCAGATACTGGCGATTAATCAGGAAGGAAAGGGAAGGGACGGGCGCCCTGTCGAGATATTTCGCGTGCGCTCCATTTCGATAGTCAATTAACGTAAGAAGTAGGGGTGCGGTCTGTCAGGAGAAGCAAAGAACGACGGAGATCGATACTCGACGGCCAAAGTTAGGTCTTGAAGACCTTTACACCGATCGATTTAGTTTGCACTAAAGAAAAAGTAAAGGAAGAAACAAATCGGTTTCAGTTTTTATTTTTACGATTTCAAAACAAATTGGTTTCAGGTTTCAGGGACTTTTACGTGCCTACGAGCGGCAATTTTAACAGGAGCAACTTATATCGTGTAGTAACTAAAATTTCAAAAATTTTCGTCATGCAAAGTGATTTGTCACTTTATTATTTCTTCGATTATTTCACGTGATCGCACGTGATTGAGGGCTGCTGCGCGTTTGAACAGTAGACGCGAATGCGCGAATAAACAGTAGATCGATTTCATGAGCCTTATCGGATCACAAGCCTCAGAAGATCACCCGCGCTAATGGCGTTAATGAGCCGTCGCGATTTCGTAAAACGCACACAAAAGTCGTCCCGCGTCAGTATATTTACGGACGCGATGAATGCCAGTGAATGTCAAGTGTCAAGATTTCCAAGCACCTGCGTACGAAAACACATCGTTGTGACAAAGTCACGCGTACTTACGAGGAGGCACATCTAAAGCTTTTGCTATGCGAAATCGCGGGTATTTTATTTTTATACCTCCGTCACGATCAACGGTGCTACCTTCCTTTATCTCGCGATTTCTTGTGCTTTACGATTTTTGCGAAATGCCTTCCTCGGAACTCGTCGAAGTATTTTTTTCGTACTGTGTATATATATTCATAGTAAGTTGTTTATATTAATTAGAATATAATGAATTATAAATAATTATGTCATAAAAATGGCCATTTCGTTAAATCAATAATTTTAAATAATTCAAAAATAGCGTTCGAACGGTTGTCAGATCGAAAATTAAAGTCTGTATAATACGAATTAACGCAATGGACGTCGCACCTATTACAGCACTGTAAAACGCTCTCTGAATGATCGGTTACATCACCATTCGAGCCACCTTATTTACACATCGCCGTTTGTATGTATTTTCCATACCTTTTGTCATCGACAATTTAGCATTCGCTTTCGATTAATCGTTCAATTGAGAGGAAATATTGGTTCGTATCACGACCGTTGCGCACTTCGACCCGCCGATAATACAAACGACGCAGCGTTTAAATGTCACCGATCGCGTATAGGATTATCCGCGGGAGGAAGGTAAATATTCGCGCGCATATGTACTCGGTTCGCGTACTCACTTTTCCTCGGGGAGCGCGAGATCTTCTTTCCCTCGGGATCGATCGACGCGCAGGTGCACCGTGCGTGCCGACACGTGAAAAACGTACGCGGATGCTGCACACGAACGAGACCGCGGGACGTGACGTGCAGACGTGTGACGCGACGTGCAGGCGCGGCGAGACGCGGAGAGAGACGCGGGCAGGAGATCGCACGCAGGTCCAGCACGCGCGCGCGTTCCGCTCGCAATAGGAGATGACCAGAAACTGTGCCAAGAACAGTGCCGCGGCGGCGAACCGCGCCAAACCGCGCGCGATGTGGCATACACCTACGTCGCGGCCGTTACACACCTACATCGGGTGTACCAACACCGCGGCGAGCGACGGGGAAGGCCTACGCGTGTCGGTCTACGCGAGCCGCGCGCGGCGCGCTACCGCGACTTACGCGAGCGGCGGCGCGGCGCGGCGGCGTGTAAGTACCGCGCGACCGCGAGATGCGGTAGAAGAGTGCGCGGGGCTCTCTCTCTCTCGAGGCGAGAGGAGAACGCGCGCTCGCGCGCGCTCGATCGCACTTTTTTTTTGTATACGAATCGCTCTCGCGAGACTTTATCTCCGACTCCAAGGAGCGCGTCTGGGTCTCGCTCGTGAGACACAGACCGAGGATAAACTTTTCCGCTCGTCCGATCCTCCGTAAACACAAGTGCGTTGCACGTCTTGCTTCCACGGGAAAGTCGCGGCGTGATGTCCGCGACTTTCCACGCGCGCTACATCTCTGTTTAGACTCCTTCGACACGGTCGTTAACTCCTAAGGAGCCGAGCGATGACGAACGCCGCTGCTACTCCGAATTAATGAAGTTTCACGAAACTTTCCTCATAGATGGTGGAAAAGGACGTTTCGCTCGACGTTTCATTCGATTTTCCTCCGAGAGGTCGTGCCTATTTTATTAAAAATCTTTCGCGCGTGGAAGCGTATAACGTGAACACACCGCTGTATGCGAAATATGCGGGACGAGAGACTCGCGATATTCTACGCAGTTGCAGGGTCAAGAGCGGAGCAGACGTCTCTCTGCGTTCTTATAGGAATGTAAGTGAATTACTATATAGCGGACACGTAAAACGCGATACGAGAGTAAGATTGCTTTATGAAAAGCGATAAATTGTGAAACGAGTGAACACGTGCCCGTTCCAATCCGCCGCGAATGTGTAATGCGATTTACTGAGAGTGACGTGTATATAATTATGTATGTATATCGCTGTTACGACACAATGTAATTTTCCGTAATAGGTTCTTGAAGAAACAGAGTTTCGACGCACTGTACTAACGTGCTCGTTAGTTTGCACACGTTAGGCGACCTCGAGATAACATCGCGATGAACCGGCCGATGACATTGCCGCTATGTATGCGCACTTAGGTAACAAATGGTTGTACACGCGAGGACGATTTCGTACCAACTAAGAAATAAGAGCATTCGCTCCGGTAACTCTCAAGCAAATAGATTTTTTCTGTGCATATATATATATATATATATATATATATATTTATAAGCATAAATATAATTATTATATATTTTTTATATTACATATATCAATAAAAATATATTATATATATTTTTATATTGGTAATAGATGTTATTATATCTAGCGCACGTGAAAGTGGAATCGCTCTTGCAATGTGTAAGCTGGAATCAAAAATAATAATCGCAATAACTGGATTAACACATTTATTCGATTTATTTTTAATCGTATTTAATTATAAAGAATTATAATTCTGCTCCAATTTTGCAAAATGATTGTGAGAAAGAATATGAAAAAAATATCGGTTTAACAATCTTTTTGAACTTTGTTTTTTTTTAAATGTTGATATACATAGATGTATATATAATTTAAAAAATAAAGAAGTATTTTTTTTAAAAACGTATCTTCGATGAAAATTAAAAGACTGGCAAGTTAAAGTTTGCGATTGTAATTAATAGTGCAGTTATCTCGGGACGATCTTGAAATGCAAGACGATCTTGAAATGCAGAAGCGTTAAACCAGTTGCATAGTTTCAGGCATACGTTATCTTACCTTTTCCGTGTACAAATGTGTTGGGAATACGCTTGTCTTATTCTTTATTTTCTACTTATTTTTACGTAGTAAATGAAATTTTTAATTTTTAATTTAAAAAATTTAATCCGAGCACGAAAATCTTTGAAATTTTAGTTTAATTCTCTACTCTCAGCGAAATTAATCATTAAGTCATTAAGATAAAGAAAATGAAACATCAGAATTTTACACGTCCGCATCGATGGCAGGCGAACGCGCAGTTGTTCTGTCTACTTAACCTGTTGGGTTAAGTAGACAACTTTTTATTACAAGAAATATTTGTTAAATTAAAAAAATTCAAAATTGAAAAGTTTAACTCGAGAATGATTTTAAGGGCGGAAGATACGCTTGCGGTCGAATTAGTTTTGAAGTTCCAACTACGCGATGTCTGGCTTTGCGCCGCGTCTTGAGCTGCAAATAATATTCATAAATGTTCTAAGCCTGGTAAATATTTTAGTAGTGTACGTGACTTGTGATAATATCTCGTAGAATTTAAGCAAGATTCGAAGGTTTAAATTCTTTTACAATAATTCTAGAATCGTAAATCGTAAAGGTTAATTTCAACGCGCATATGTTTCAATTACATACATTGTGTTGCAAATTTGTTTATTACACTCGTACGCTTTTATGTGTAATATTATACATATCGGTTGTCTGTTTAATTGAATTGCTATTATATAATTATAACATAATTATTAATTCAATTACTGATTAAATTATAAATAAAGCTTCACGTGTGAAATAGTCGTAATCAAAGATTTTAATGTTGACGCATCGATATTTGCCCCATTGAAATTAAATGTGTTGCATCACTTTGTCAAGGCCGGCAGCGCTGTAAAGTGGAGCTGGCTCAAGGACCGGCAGCTGGAGAAGATCTCAAACTTCTCAATTCCGCAATCCGACAAGTTAGACGTGGCGGATATCGACTGGCTTAAGACGAGTTAGCACTCCGTCTTGTATACTCAATATAAAGACACACAGTTCTTATTGTATCGTGCTGGTATAATTTTAAAAATATCCCCGTCATAGAAGTAAGAGCTAAAGATGAAAAATCTCCTCAGTTCTATCGTGGATTGAAGATGCGCGGTTTGTCATCGATCGCTTCTCGCTTCTCGCCTACGTGGCTAACATCTACACGATAGTGACGCGAAGCCGGCAGAACTTGCTCGTACTTTGGATGCTGCTCAGCTTTCTTAAAGATATCGTTTTGGAAGTCATCGTGATTGTCATTACTTTCCTGCAATGGCACAAGGGAAGCTTCTCGACGAGGCTCCTCGTTGAGTTCATCTTAATGAAAACGGTGTATCTGGGTAAGTGGAAATGTGAAATGGATCAGGGACAAAGAGATATACAGTTGTAGCGCAGACATAGGGTATGTGCCTTACTCAAAGTTATCACAAGTTTTTTTTTCTCTGCGAAAACATTGATCGTTCCAGCTATCGTGACCTGCAAGTGGTACCCGACCATCAAGTGGTACATGAAGCTGCGAAACGTAACAAAATTCCGCAGATTCACGATAATCGCGCGGAGAAGTATCGCGAGTATCGCCAACAACATACCAGGCAGAGTCGGTCGTTCCCTCGACGACGAGTGTCTCGACATAGCGATAATCAGGCGAGACAAGTACGCGAGTCTGTTTAATCTGGACAGGCATTCCGAGGAATTGTCCAGCAGAGCGAACGCGAAATCCTTGACGACCCTGGTCACCGACGACACGAGCGACACGAGCGATTACAATTCCGACGTCAATGACTTGAGCGTGGCTGAAAAATCGATGAGGATGCTGAACGTAACCGCGGAGGATGTGATGGACGCGCGTGCCAGAATACAGGAGCGATCTTATTGGGAGCAAGAAGTGATTGCAAAGACACCTGAGATGATAGAAAAATTAATGATGTTTTCTTTAGAAAAGAATGGAAAAGAAATGATCGATACAATAAGAAATGGACAGTCGGCGAAAGATAACTTAGAGAAAACCGTGAATCGTATCTTGAAAAAAGAAGACATTATGGAGCATCTTCCGATGAAGAAAGGAGGGAAGAAAGATAATGAAGAAAAAATGGTTTTGATTGATGAGAAAAAGCAGCCGAGAAATCAGGAAGATATCTCGCTGCTAAAAAGCGAAGATGTCACGTCTGACAAAGCGGTGAAGAAAGAAGGGCAAAAAAATAATGAAAAAATTGTTCTAGTTGATGAGAAAAAACAGATTTTGATGGAAAATCAGGAAGATGTTTCGTTGGTAAAAAGTGAAGAAAACGTTACATTAGACAAAGTGGGTTATGCGGGATCTCATAACATTTCTGTGGAACTAAAGAAGAAAAGGAAAGAGAAAAAGGAAGGAGTCACAAAGATTGTGCAGTGTCCTTCGTTCGAGAATGAGAATGCAAGAAACGTGGAGGCTAAGCCATGTGCCTCCCTCGTGAGAAAATTGAAAGCGAAACTCTGTCCCGTTCAAGTCAATGTCAATGTACAATTAATGTCAACTAATGTCAACTGTTTAAACGTAAGTAAAAAAGAGCACTATAAAATCTCGAAAATGTCATGCAGGTGCCATCGTGCTTTGCACAACAGTTCGAAAAATGGGAAGCACGTGCAATCAATCGATATTGATGGTAAAAATGTTGAATACGATGGAAAAAAATTTAGGTCTTTTACACCTATCGTCAATATGCAGAGGAGTAAAATTGACAAATCCGCGTTCAGATATTCAGAAGCGTACCGTTTAAAGAAGCAAATCCAAAAATGGGAAGAATCTCTTGGCAAACAGTACTGGGGAAGCAAGTCCTTAGCCGAAACTGCACGTCCCTCGGGATATGCAAAGAACATCATCGACGCGCCTGATAAATTGTCTATTGTGAATTGTCGTAAAAACATTCAGACCGAAACTTGTGATGGATCGACAATGCTGAGCGATTCTTTGAGTGAGCGACATAGATTGAAAGGCGATCAGAATCAGACGCGAAGTAAACGAACGGCCGATTTGCGTTTCGTTTACAATACGGCGTCATTTAGAGAAAAGAATTACGCGGAGGCACATGAAATGAAGATGAAAGCTTTGGAAACCAGTAATTTTATGTTGGAGAATAAAAGAGAGACGAGAGCGAGTAAAAGGCACGATCTGCTGCCGGCGAATCGCAAACTGTCTATCGAGCAGCGCGAAGCGGTAGAGCTGAAAGCTTTGAGATCTTATAACAAGCTTACTTTGCTGGAGGATAAGAAAGAATTAGAAGTGAGAAAGGAACGCGACTCGACGTTAAATTGCGAACGATTGGCGAAGAAATTCGAAGTATCGGAGACGAAAGTTTCGAAAACTTATGACGATCCCATCTTACCGAAAGACAAAAAAGGGATAGAAAAAACGAGAGGACATAATTTGTCGCCAAGTTTCCAGCGATCGATTGATGAACGAAGTATCTCGAGAGTTCGTGACGAGCTTACGCGGTCGGGAAGCAAGAGAGAGCCGCAGACTGGGAGAAAACGCGATTCATCGAGCGATGAAACGCCATCGGAATGCGAAGAAGGTGTCGAGGCTCCAGCGAGCGTCTCTAATCGCCTTTCAATGGGTAACTGCGAGAATGTCACGATCCCCGCACGTCGGAACGCAAACAGCAGCTCCGGTGTGAACGATCGTTGTATCGCGAGACACGCGTACATGTCGTTGAATCTTATGGAGATCACGAGGAACATCGAATGGACCGTTCATCCGCGTGGCATTATACTCACCAACAAGAATCTGCACGGCCGACTCTTGGAGAACGAGAGATTTCGCGAAAGCCGACAGCGCGACATCGTCGACGACAACACCGTCAGCACGTTGCACAGCGCTTTCTTCTTCAAGCCCGAGATCATAACGCGGGTCTTCCGGCGCGCTCGCAGTCAGAGAATCGACGAGTTCTTCTTCTCGGGTCTTCCGCTCCGGCGGGAGGACTTCAGCACGGAATTCGTTTGTCGAGTGAGCAACGAAATGGTCGTGCCCCATCGGGACTCGTCGTTCGATTGCAATCTCGAGCGAACGATGGGAAACGATCGAAGCTATCTTGGAGATTCAGTGCTCTCCAATTACGCTGACAGTCACGACACCGGAGGCGAACACGGCTACGATCTGCGTATAATATTCTTCGATCGGGAAGAGATACCGAGCGAATCGCAAACCGCGATGGAACATTCGACGACCTTCGGATCCCGGGAAGACGCGCGTTCCAGCATCGAAAGTACTCGAATGACGAATATTTTGGTATTCGACGAAACTCACAATCGCGTGGGCAACGCGAGCAACGATAACTCGTCAGCTCGATTGATCACCGGTGTAGTAAGAAACCTCGATGTCGAGATGTCGGAGGGGAGTGTACGCGAGATTGCGTTGTCGGGCGAAGAAGGTGTAAGTAATGTGAATGTATATAACAATCCACAACCTCGAGAACTTAATGCGGATGATATAAACTCTGAAGAAGAAAATAATAATGAGTGTGACGGGCTTTCTTCACATAAAAATGCGAATATTGATGACACAATCCACGAGATTGAGCAGACTTTGAATTCACGCGATGATTGTCTGGAAAATGTAAACGTTACGTCGTATGCTAGTTCGTTGGAAAAATTAAATAATTCGAGAGATAAAAAGTATTTAAGCACAACCGATATTCATTCTGAAAGTGAGGTATGCGAGGATAATTTATCCTTTAAAAGTACTAATAATAATACGTCACAATTATCCGATGATAATAATGAACAATTTGACGTGTTGAGTAATGAAACTGAGAAAAGTATGTTTAATCGTCTCTTTGAGAATTCTTTGAAATTATCTTTTCCCGGTACATCGTCACTTATTGAATCAGATAATTGCCGTGCATTAAAATCATGTGATGAAGAGCTTCAAAGATCGATCCAGCTTTCAGATAGCGCAACTACGTTGGATGATCAAAGAAACGAATCGATATCGAATTTAGAAGCTAGAAATTATGATACAATTGCACAATTTCGGAGTGTCGAAACTTTAAAATCAGAAACCACGATACAAAATGACGCAAGAAGCCAGAGACGTGTAAATAGAGACGAAAAAGTAAATGAATTCCTGGCAGAAAAAATTTTCAAGATGCATTCAGACGATAATCTCCAGCAAGACGATAGTTTTTCCTTTATGTATGAGAGACATGATGATCCAGGAACACCGGTTTCGTTGGAAGACGGCAGTGTGATGGAGGAGTTTCTAAGCGATCCCGTATCGCCTTTAAACTCTTCTTTCTGTTAAACGAGAAATTAAAACGCACATTTTCAATGACAGAAACAGCGCGTGAGTTGGTTTATAACGTAAACGTTTAGTCTCTAAATAACATTTAACCTACACTGAGAAAAAAAATTACTTAAAACACAAATAAATATGTTTCAGGTACCCCTCAAAAAAATAATTTCTTGAAGCAAATAAAATTTTTTTGTTTTAAGTAATTTTTTTTCTCAGTGCAAACACTTTTACTTAAAATAAAAAAATTTTACTTGCTTTAAGAAAATTATTTCTTTGAGAGGTATCTGAAACATATTTATTTGTTTT